CACAAGGCTGCGTAGAGTTACGTGACGAGCGGTCGTTGCGGAAAACTAAAACCTGAGGTGATTGTTAAAGGCGCTTGTCAGCAGATGTAACTTCTTTAGATAAAACTCTTCACAGAATAATTGATATCGATTGTGAACCATATGTAGATTTCTATAAGGAAACTGATCACTAATTCGTTTAGACACAATGATAAGTTAAGGTGGCTCGATAGGCCAAAAATCGAAAAAAAAGTGTATTTTGTGACTTTGCATTTTATAGTATCTTTAGCCATTGTACTTCAATAGCAGCTCGATATTTTTGCCCTATAGTGTGTAATTTGCCCAAAATTGCGAAGTTTGAGCTTGTTCTTGATCGGTTACTATGGTAACCAATGTTGTTTACGCGTTGTTTTGATGCAAAAAAGGGCGATTTTTCTGCTCTGATTCATCTGTGAGTGCCCTCAAGCGATGGGAAGACTGGTAACAAGTTCAGGCTAAAGCGGGGACATTTCGTTGTGCAATTACACGACATCGTTTTAGACATAAAACGTGGAAGCGACGAAAGCCATTGTTTACAGTTTAGTTCGTGAAATATTCTTAGCGAAACATGCCTCCAACGAAAGTTCACAGTAGAAAAAGAAAAAAGAGAAGATTTACTGGTAACCAGTACACAAAGAAAAGTAATTCTTCAACCGAAGCTGCTTCTGTGTCGAAAGAATCGACCGAGAAAAGCGACGAGTCGAGTGGGGATGAAGAGCACGCGGCGAGAGGCGTGAAGTCCGAAAGCTTCAAATCCTTGCCAGCTTCAGTGCGAAAACTGAAACCACCATCGGATGATTCTTCCGAGGAAAGCTCCGAAAATGAAGGTGAAATCCTGCAAGGCTTTAGAATTGTTGACATCTCTGTTCTTGCCACGGTATTTGAGTCTTTACCTTGCCCTTCTTGTAAACGTGTAGCTCTTTCGCTCGAGGAAGATGAAGATTCCAAAATGGGTCTGGCTTCTCTTCTCATTTTAAAGTGCACTGGAGGTAAATGTTCATTTACTCGCCAATTTTACACTTCTGCTAAAATACAGAATAAACAAGCCTTTGAGGTGAACAGGAGAGCTGTGTTAGCTATGAGAAACATTGGTGTTGGTCACCAAGGACTTGTGAAGTTCACATGTGTCATGAACATGTTGCCACCCATGAATGAGAACGCTTACCGTGACCATGTGAAAGCTGTGCGAGATGCAACCGAATCTGTTGCTAAAGAAAGCATGTCTAAAGCAGCAAATGATGTAAAAGAGTTTTATGAACCCAATGAAGAAGGCTTGTATGACATTGCTGTGTCAGGAGATGGAACGTGGCGAAAGAGAGGATTTTCCTCAGCATATGGTGTAGTGACAGCACTTTCCACAGTCACAGGAAAGGCTCTGGACTGCGAGGTTATGTCAAAAGAATGCAGGCAGTGTATGCAATGGAGGGGGAAAGAGAGATCAGCAGAATTTCATGAGTGGTGGGATGGCCATCAACATGAATGTCATGCAAATTTTGAAGGCTCTTCAGGATCAATGGATGCTTCCGGGATTCTGAACATTTTTCAACGGTCTGTTGAGGGCCATGGCATGCGGTACGTGGAGTTCCTTGGAGATGGTGACAGTAAAGCACACAAGCTTTTAGTACAAGAAGCTGTCTATGGAGATGTAGCCATCGAAAAACTTGAATGTGTGGGCCACGTACAGAAGCGTTTGGGTTCACGCCTACGTTCACTCAAAAAGAGACTGGGCAAGACTCCTTTAGCTGACGGCAAACCAATTGGTGGAGCAGGGAGACTGACAGACAAAAGAATAGATAAACTCCAAGTTTATTTTGGAAAGGCCATCAGGCAGAACACCCATAACATAACAGCAATGCAGAATGCAGTGATGGCCATTTGGCATCACAGCAGATCTACGGATGAAAACCCTGATCATGACCTGTGTCCAGAAGGAGAAGACTCCTGGTGTGGGTTCCAAAGGGACATTGCCAAGGGAACAGCAGATTATGCCCACAAAGAGCCCATGAAAGAGGCTGTGGCAAATGCCATCTTGCCAACATTTGAAGCCCTTAGTGAGGAGAGTCTTCTATCAAAGTGCACACACGGTGGAACACAAAACCAAAATGAGTGTCAATGGGCTGATTTGGCAGCGTGCTACGAAAGAGACCCACTCAAGTCTGCCAACTGTTGAGACTGCAACCTTTTTGGGAGTAGCTCATTTTAATGATGGCTCAACATGCCTTATTTCAGTACTAAAACACCTTGGAATTGTGCCTGGTGTCCACTGCAAGAGGAGTTGCGCAAAGCTAGACAGTGACAGAATTCGTCATTCGCGAAGAAAGAGTGGGGAACTGGCCAAGAAACGGCGAAAGAACATTAGAAAATGGAAAAAGGGTTACACAGATACCCTAGAAGCAAATGAAGGACCCTCCTATGAGGCTGGGGCCTTTTAAGAGACTAAAAAAATTCAAATCCTAGTGGTAATTAAGTGTATCAACTTTAAGTCTTATTTTCTAAAATATGCAAATTTTCATGATTTTGAACACTGGGAACACTGTTTTGTAAAAAGTATTTAAGGTAACGGTGTGAAATTTTCAGAGAACCTATAAGACAGTCATAGCTGTGAAATGACCCACTCTTGTGTTGATCTGACCATTATTGCAGGAGTTATTAGCAATGAAATTTGCGTAGACCATGGCAAATTTTCCATGTTTCAGTAGCTGGTCATAACTTTAAACATATTTGAGGTTTTTACATGAAAGTGGCTCATTTCACAGTCAACAATATTATATACAAGCTTGCAAAACTTGGACTTTATGCTGTGTTTCTCAGTTGAGATATTTGGTTCCTAAAATACCTTATTTTCAAAGGTTCGGAAATGGGTGTGGCCACATTTGTGGGTGTGGCTCCGTAGGAATTTAAAGAATTCGTCTAAAACTTCGGAACTGCACATTTCAAAGAATACTGTAACTAGATGTGTTACTTAAATGTTGATATTGAGAATATAATTGACCATGGAAATGTTGCAAAAATGACCATTTTCAGCCTATCGAGCCACCTTAACTCTAAAGATAAGATATGCAAGAACGAGTGTTCTTAAATATACTTATTTTCATAGAGTTGTGGAAACATGGAACTTCCTTCCGTTTTCCATTCGTGAGGCTACAAGTGTAAATTCTTTTGAAGCTTTAGTCAAAAAGTTTTTTATGGATTAATATATTCTTTGAATGATTTTCTTGTTATAATATTTAATATTTATCACTACCATATTTTAATTTGCATCATTTTTCATTATAGTACATTTGGTGATTTGCTTTAATATGCGGTCTTTGACTATTTTGCATTTCATTCTTTGGCTTCTCCTTTTGTATGCCATAAATTGTAATTAATACAATAAAGGCGACTTCATATGATCAAGAGTTTATCATGACCCCGTTCAAGGCAAATAAAAGAATGCTCCCTCCCTACCCTGAGCTATCATTAATTGGGATACATTTATGTAGTAGCTGGGAACCTGCGATTCCTCGGCGTGATCAGTGCCATTAATTATTTACCGCCATATCCTACCATCTTTGTTTTTATTTATTTTCCGAACTTCGGGAACACGCTCAAAGCATGAAAACGTATTTTCTCAGTTATCCACGACGAGTTAATCGCGTTAAAAATGTTCGTGAATATTAGCCCGGCCGGCTAGACTGATATTCTATCATTATTTCCGGCTTTTGTCTAATGCCTCTCATAAGGTTGGCTTCTTTAGACCTCTTTATAATTTCTTTCCATTTTAATGTAGCAGGAGTTGACTTTATCCCTCAAATCGAGACAAAAGTTAAAATAAACAAACGAAAGTTGATCTCGTACCTTTTTAGAGAAAAGGTTTCTGTTTGATTAACAAGTTTCTATAGTGGAACACCGCCTCAGAGTTGTCAAGTTTAATTACTAACTTCGTTTTGATAGACTGACAAGGTATCAAGCTTTTGTTTTCCTCTTGAGTGATGTATCGTAATTGATATTCAGTGATTCGTGTCCTTGTAGCAATATTTCCCAGAGATCTTTGACTCAAACAGTTTCAAATGTAATATCGATGTTCCAGAATATTTCAAAGATCGTTTGAGAAACTGCAGTGGGTCACCAAGTATTAAATCAAGGAGGACATGTCAGCGTGAGAAAAAGCAATTTATTACGCAAACGATCGTAGAACAATCAGCCAATCAAATGACGTAAATTTGGCAGCGTTTTGATACAAGCGCGTTACATGCTTTCGTCGGACTGAGCGATCGGAGAAATTCATGCGGATCAATTGTTGATTGCTTTTGCGGCATTTGTGGCTTTGCCAGGGATTTTTCCTTCATCCAGGTGTATTAAGAAAGGATATTCATTCAAGCTGCGCTCGGTTGATATGTAAATGCAGATTGACAAGTCGATCCGTTGGTTGCTGGATCCCTTCTTGTTGTCACTAACGGAGCACTGTGGTTGACCTTTGACGAGCAGTTTCGGAGTGAAAAGGTCTGGAGGAGCACAATAGAAAAGACAGGACAGCTGTTCCCATAGTTAAATTTTCAGTGAAGGTGTGAAAATGGAAGTGAAGGTATGTTTCCCGTTCTTTTCTGTTCGGAATGTTGTCAGGCAACCGCCGCTCTGTGTTTCGCAGAAATCGGCGCGGTGCGGATCGTGTTGTTTTTGCAAGCTGACCGAGAAACACTGCTTGAAAATATTTTGACGACCTACTTTGACTGAATCCATGCTAATGTTTGATTTACCTTACGCTATCGTAGTGTTTTAGTACTTAAGTCCTTAAGGGCTTCAGAAAGTTGAACAGACAAATTGCTTGTGAATATTGACCGCGATTCTCTGTTACTACATATACATGTCGGTTTTTGATGATGACATAAAAATTATGGTTATATCCTCGAACTAGTGGAAGAAGATTAGACTACGCTACGATCAAATCAAATCAAAGTTTTTCATGACAAATATTTTTTTCATATCCCATCAAACGTATTTTCTGGTAGGCAAACATCACGTAAAAATCAGTTGGAAGACTGTAAGAAAGCCGTGTAAAAGTGATAAGGAAACTTTTAAGACCTGTTTTTACCTATTCCACTCAATGAAACCCTAAAACCTAGAAATAACAAAGTTAATCCTATTTTTGTTACGGCTGGGCAGTTTTGGCAACCACATGTTTTTTTGTGCAGGATTTATTCTAAGTACTGTCAATGCTGATGTTCAAATTACTTCACTCGCATTAGCCACGACAATATTATTTCCCAGTCTGTTGACGTCTTGTAATTTAGTAGATCGGCAATCTGTTTTAACCGCAACAATGCTTATATTTTATCTCTTGTAGATATTAGAAGATTCTGTGAATATTAGGACCACTGATAAAATTCTATGATATGTTCATTATCCGCGTGTTTGTTGTCCAATATTTTGTGACCATTTGAAATTCATTCTTTTTCATCAAGGTTTATGGCACTACAGATATTGTTGTGCGGCAAAAAGTTAGGGAATGAAGAAACCATAGTACTGAATCGTTCAAATCAAAACATTGAACTTTCAGCATGATTGCATAACAATATGCAAATGTTTAGCCATTGTTTTGATTCGGAAGTTCCCAGCCATCATGGGTAATATTGCAATATCTGTTACCAAAACAAAAAAGTTAGACATGCTGGTAGGCAGAAATACACGTTTATCATACATTGTGGTTCAGTTTGTTCATTTTAATTTTTTTTTTTTTTGAGTCTTGGTACAGACTTCCTTCCTGTATTGATGCTGGAAAGTTGAATGGCAGGAAGGAAGCAGAATATCTCCCCACAAGGGACATGAAGGGAATGTTTATCCTGTTGCTGATATCAACATGAGATTTTCTTTAGATAATTTTTCCTTTTGTTTTTTATTCTTCTGCGAGGCTGAACTGTTAGAGCAATTTTTCCTGGAAGTAGAGCAGCTTAAATCTGCAATCCGTCTAACTCAGCTTTTGGTTTTTCAAGAGCTCTGTCAGATCTCATTTTCAATTTGGCACCTCCCCCACAACCCCAGGTTTTTACTCTTTACACTACTGGCAAGTGCAAGTGCATGTCTACAATGCTGTCTGGAAATTAGGAAATATTACTCAGTCGACTATTACGTGTGACTCAATAGACTGTTATGTGTAACTTAGTATGCATGTTGGTGTCTGGCTGTGGAGGAACCAAAATTTTGGCGGCAAGACGCAAGCAGCAATGAAACCAGATTTCAATTGGCATCAATTTGATTGGTTTTCACTTTGATTCAAGACTCTTCGATATCTTTATGGGTCTTACATGTATAAAGGATATCTCTTCAATTATTATCATGATTGTATATGAGCTAAAGTTATGTACTAGATTTATCGGCTATCGTGACATTATGCACCAAGGCATGGCGATATCTGGAAAACCTGTATCACTTGAACAATGCTAAATTATATACAACACCAAAACTGAGAGACAACAGGTGTTAGTTTACTTTCAGCCTGTCTTTTTTAAGTTTGCAAAATAAGCAGGAACTTTTTAGTTGATGGAGTATTGTAAAATATTATTTTAAAGTCATAAAAAGGTAGATATTTTTATATGATGTTTTTCTGCATGCTATTATTAATGATATCTACATGTATCTTCTCTAAAAGTGATATTAGTTGTACTAAACCTCAAAACTGCCTTTTTTAGATAACCTGTTTATGAGTCCAAATGTGTGATAAATTCTCATTACATGTTTAGTCGATTACATTTGGATGTTATAAAGAGAACTGCAATGCTGATCACCCCCTCTGCTGAGAAGCTGCTTAACGAGTAGAAGCAACTACAGCTCACTTACTTCCAGAGCTATATGATTTACAGCTCTATTGAAATGTCCTGGCAGCTAGCAATTTTGCACTTTACTAAATCATGTGCTGCCTACAGAACTTAATACTGGAGTTCAGGTATCCTGGCTCATTATAAAAGTATCTCTGGCTTTAATGGTTTACTACGTCTGTTATCTTGTCTGCTACTACAAAGCATTTTGACAGGGCTTTATATACATGTGTATCTACCCAGAATCCAAACTTTATTTTTTCTTTGAAAAACTCTATCTAGCTTACATGCATTAAGAAGACATGATTGACCATTGCACTTATACACACAACTTCAGCAGTTGTGAAATTAAGCCAAAGGCTTTTCAAATCTTTCTTCATGAGGAATGAGGTTCTTCTACAGCAGGAAAGAAATCTGTGTATTAATATTAAAGAGCTTTGGATTAGATTTAGTGTTCTAATCATTTTAGGCAGTTTTGGTTAGCCAATGAAAACAGGATAATTTAACAAAATTTTGCCACTAGAAGTTTATTTACTATTGTGTGGCTGGAGTTAATATGGTGCCAACTTTATAACCTAAGTTTAATTTAAAACATGCATAATAAAACTTTGTACAGCATTTTTCTATTAATTTTTTAGGAACTGTTGTATACAAAAGAGAGCGAACTATGTCTATTGAGAAATCTAAAAACATGTTGCCAGTTTTTTTGCAAATCTTTCATTAAGAAAAATAATATTTTTCTACTGGTGGGACACAAATGTTCAGATGTTAATATTAATGGCTGTGGATTTGATTAGACTTGTGTTTAAATCAGTTTCTGAATAGCCAATGGGAACCCGAATGTAATTGATGAAAATTTCACAAGGGGGTTGTTTACTTATGTCTTATTAGAGTTGTCATGAATATTCAATGATCCCAGTGATTAAAAATAGTAAATAAATGGAAAGAAAGTATGACATGATTTATTCTCTTTAGTTACAGTTGTAGCTGGTTTGATTGCCGCAAAATGCATCAAGGCAACATTCTGGGTACATCAAGATTTTTTTACTGTAATGCTTATTTGTAGTGTTTTTATTTTGTTATCATGATGTTTTTTTTGGCAGATTTGACTTTTACATTTTATAAGCTACTGACAACCTTTAATTTTGACTTTTGACTATTTATCTACATGTTATAAGATGCGTTCTTGAAATCATAATGAATATGTGTGTGTACACAAAAACACTTTGATTTATTCAATCTACAAAGGCCTTGGTAACCATAACAAGACAAGAATTTGTAATCTATGTTTGCTGCATATTTGTAATGAGATGTTAAAGAAATTTTCAGTTAACATTTTGAAACCTTCATTGTTTAATTAAGAACTCATTAACAATTCTGAGGTTCATACAAGTTATTCTCAATGATTCCCTCTTAGAAGAGACTGTTCAGAAAGAATAGCCTGTTGAATTGCATGGATATTTAAATTGCCTACTGCTTCATAATGAGTTTTAAAAGTTATGCATTTGACCTTGTAATTGCTACTTTCTGTACCAGCTGTAGACTTAAATTGCTCTGCTTTTGTACAGATGTGTGAAAAAACATGTTTTGCATGACACAGAAACATTCTTTGACATGAGGTTGTGATTTATGAGGAATCATGCAAATTCAGCTTAGAAAGTGATATTGCCTGCCATGATACGGTGTAGTTTCATTTTCACACATGTATATATTCGTACCTCTAAAACCATTATAAACTACATGTTCTCAACAGTTATGTCTGCAGTTTTTCCCTCATCTTTCTGCATCCTGTGTAGTGTGCTAGCTGTTTTTCCGGTCTAATTGGTAATTATCTCAACAAGTTTTCAATTTCCTGAGTATGGTGACATTTGGGTTAATGTTCAACAAGCTAGCTGACACTTGGAGCACATTTTGCCACACCACCTGTAGTTTATAGACCTCATGCAAGGGAAATATGGTTTTTATATGCATAACTGCTGTAAACAGTAAGGTAAGAACAAACCCTGAGTGAATATCCCATTGAAAACAAATGAGCCTGAACTAATTCATGTGGCTAATGATTGCATGTGGTTTGGTTGTCAAGCCAAGTTGTAGTGACTGTGGTTTTGAAAGTAGTTTGTTTAATTATACACTTCCTTCATGTCATTGTAACATGGCTTTCAAATCTTCTTACTTGCTGTTTTATCCTAAGCAACCATACTTTTGCCAAGCTGATTGGAAAGGAGGGATAGGGCAGAAATTTGTGAGTTGTTGTCTCATTTTAAATCATTTCTTTTGTTATTAGTGAATCAGTTTCAGTAGCTGACATTGTTGTGAGTTTCTGTAAGCAATTCATAAGGAAATTGCATAAAATTACTTGTGTTGTGATTCTATTCAGGACAAATTTCAACTCATTCACAGGGAGATCTGTTACTAGTTGTGAATTTCAGTAACTGTTTGAGTTCAAAGTGATTTAAATAATGAGTGATTTAGCTCTCTTAAATGTTCATGTTGTGATGTCTTTCTGAAGCTCTTAGTCCAACTAATGTTACTGTATAGGTTAAAAAGACAGGGTAATTGTATTGGACAACTTCCTGTCATAGAATTATTGAATGCACATCTTTATGATCTATCTATGCTATTTTTTAAGTAGTTATAGTACTGTTGCAATTTTTGATTTCATGTTGGAGTGCTATAGAATTGTCTATTGAAGCCTTAGTAACACGTTACTTGTAGCATGAAATGTTTTGGTTTGAATATCTCTGACAAGCACATGTACTGCACATCATTTGAAAAGTTACTAAGACTGGCGTAGTTTCATGTTTATAGTCAGCCAAACAGCTACACATGCCCAACTATTTTCAAATTTTCATCTAAAAGTACAGCTACTAATTTTTTTATTTATCAGTAGATAAACATGTCTTTGAGTATTTTTTTATTCCTGGGAATGTACTTCACTTTTGACAGTCACATTTTTTATTGAACATTTACATGTACCACAAATTATAACAATAATTTTATTTTCAGGTTTTTAAACTTGTTCAGCAGATTGAAGAACATTCTATATCTTGTACTAACTTTGATTTGAAGTCAAACACATTTTCAACCCCAAGTCTAAAGCCATCATTGACCTTCACAAGTGGGTCACACAGATGTGAATTGCGTTAAAAAAGGCATTCAAAATTTATTGGAAGAAATCCAATTGATAGAGAAAAATTGATTAATGAACCTAGTTGTAGATCAAAGTGATTTTGTTGTCTCTGTTTGTGACCCCTTTTCTTTCAATTATTAATCTATTGATGTATTCAGTATTGTTTTGATTTTAGAACCAGTAATCTGATATCCAGTCTTGTTGTATACTCTTTATGCTCAGTACACTCTGACTTCAGATGTTATTAGTTGATTCTTGTGTCTAATTTAAACATACATGTACAAGAAGGGGAGTTTCTACTATATAATCAATGCTTCTACAAGAGGCGGGGGGGGGGGGGGGNGGGGGGGGGGGGGGGTGAATGATTTTCAGATCGAAGGATTTGACCTTGAAAAGCGCACAGATTGTGGATTTTTGCGGTAAATCGAGCGGATTCGTGGATTTTGAAAACACAGTGGATCATGGATCAGCTGTGAATTTTTGTGCGGATTACGGATTGTGCCTGTCTAGATGTTCCGAAATGAAATTTGGATCATAGATCTTTCCTTGGTCGGTATGCTAATGAGTTCATCCAAATTATTTCTTTTTTCGAACGAAGCTCATTTAAATTCAGGTGTGAGACTGTTATTGGAATTGTACCGGTTATAGTCATCAAGCATGTTGCCTTCTTTACTATTTGTGTGAAATAAACAATGGATTCACATTTACCAGTTTACCTTTGAACTTTTACACTTCTGTTTCCGGATGTGGTTGTGGTTTTGGATTTAAACAAAAATATTGGCGGATCATCGGATTTGGCGAAAAAAAGGCACCGATCGGTGGATTTGCATGCCATTATTCACCCCCCTCCTACAAGTTACTGGTTAATCCAAGGATCATATTTTTTTCTGCCACTTGATCTCATGCATTCACTGTCAGAAGTAGTTTCCTGTTTCTTGACCCAACAAGTAAGGAAATGCTCCTTTTGAGGAAAACATTTTTTCCTGTGGGCAGGATTTGGACACTCCTTGTAAAAATATAGGAAGGAACTTCATTCCTGGTCTTTTAATCAGGCTTTAATAATAGATCTTTTACAGTGAAAATACATGTAGGTATGTGTAGCCAGTGTAGATAGACTCTGAGGTCATCACATCATTGGTGTTTACTGTGCTAACAATGTTGTATTTGTACATGTATGTAGATTTTGCCAAATACAACATAGGCATCTGGTTTGTTATCGGTAAAAGTACTTTCTAGACAGACAAGGAGACAAAATATATTATTAACCTTCAACTTTTAATTAATAATAATAGATTTTCCTCAGGACTTGCTCGAGGAAGCTACAGTATACCTCATTTTAGTAGCCACTCAGTTGTGTTCTATTGGAAATCTGCAAATCTGATTGGTTCTCTCATTGTTTTCTATTCACTCATAGACAATGATCTTGAGCATGTTGTACTCTTGAAACTGAAAATTCGTCTTAATTTTAGGCTTAAAAATACACAAAATTGTACTTTTTGTGCTATAATCCTTTACAGTGTCTACTAAAACAAAATAGACTACCCGCCCTCATATTATAAATGATTGATAGTCTACTTGGCTATGCCTCGTTGACTATTTTCTCATACATGTAGGAAACTTGGGTTCATAGTCTTCTTCACTTAAAATAGAAATTGACTGACTATGCATTTTCTTTGGGCGAAATGTTTATTTTGTTACATAATTTATGCTGTACAGGTCAGAGATAAGTGTACACAAATTTGTGCACGTATTTTTTATGTGTATTGATCACTTACCATGGACCTCTATGGTCCATTTATTGCAGAGTTTCACAGTGCAAGATTTTTTGGTCTCTGCGTTACATTACACATTTTTTCACTCATTTTCCTAAATATTTCTTTGTAGACTGATGGCAGTGATGAGGAGATGAAGGACGATATTGACTCTGTACGTGGTTTGTTGGACAGACTGAAGGAAGAGAAGGAGAGAGAACTTCTTAAAGAGGTGAATTGTTCAAATATATTTCCATTTCAAATTGTTGGTTAACAGATTGGGAGTCTGCCAGAATCGCACTGTTGGGCGATGATTCTTCAGTAATGTTGTCTAATAGCCAGATGTGATCCAGTCAAATTTAGATGGCCAATTTACAGAGATATGCTTTGGGTAGCCATTGGGCTTATTACATTCAGAGACTTTTGCTTAAGTTTTCTTTGCTTGATTGGAACCATAGAAATTATGCTAAATGGCAGCCTTACAGACTCAGAGCTGTACTACCTCCCAGGTAGTATTCTCAGGGTTTTAATTAAGGGTGTGACAGTCAGAAAGCTGTTGCCCTCCCACAAGAAGTAACAAATGTTTGGCTGACAATCATCCCCATAATCACTGATGTTTAAGTTTAATTTGAGAAGATAGCTTTATTGCATTGCTGCCTTTTATGTTGGGTATCTTACAAGTGGAATTTAGGCTACCTAAAGTTGATCCACCAACATGTGTTTTGTTCTCAATGAATTGATGTTCAGGCCACATACAGGTGAACCTCTATTAAGCGGCCACGCGCTGGGATGAGACAATTGGCTGCTTAATACATTGTTGTAGGGGTGGCCATTTAATAGAGGTTCACCAGAAAACATTCTGGGTGTGCTCCAGTTTTCAGTTTATCAAATATAAGTACAAACAAATGCAAGTGGACAAAAAGTAGAACAATGATGGTTATCATGTGGTCCATAATGTTACTAGAAAAGCCAAAGAAACAATTACAATTACATGTACAGACACGATGTGTCTGTCAACCCAGCACTGGCTTGTGTCCTGTACAAACAAACTAAAATGCTTCGAGACTTTGCTTTGCGATTGCTTTAATTACATACTGCTGAAAATGTGTTTTTACAGTATTCCACATTGTTATTCTTTTACCTTCATCTGGCTAAAAACGTCCAACTTCAAATCTTCCTGCCATTTAAAAGAGGTATAAAACAAAACAAAATCACTCTTGGGATGAGAAGAAGCTGGTGGTGGCCGCTTAATAGAGGTGGCCGTTGAATAGAGGTTTTTACTGCAGTGTAAAGCTGACAATTTTTCCGGGACTTTGGCTGCTGGCCGTCAAATGAAGGTTGGCCACTTTATAGAGGGCCGCTTAATAGAGGTTCGACTATACATGGTGACATGGTTATTACTTAAAGGTATATGCAATGTTGGGTTCTAGCGTATTTTGTGACATGCTTGTTGTAACTGAAAATTTTTTTAATGACCATTTTTAGACTCCCTCAAGTTCTGTTCAAGAAAATGGAATTAGTAGTTCAGGTATGTAGTGCAATAAGATGCAAAAAGTGTGGAACTGCCAGGAGGCAAGTTTAAGGATAATGCAGATGTATAACTGAGTTTAAATCAAATTTTATTAGAAGATGGATGGAGATGGAGAAAATGTTCGAGGAAATGAATGGTAAAAAAACAAGGAATTACCATTGCATGTTTCAACCTCAATCCCTAGAAAGATTACTGCACCACCAACTTACTTAGACTAAGTAGTTTTTCACTCCTGATTAGTGCAAGATTTTTTATTGTATATTATTTGCCATACAAAAGATTCCAAGCAGGATGCTGTGATTGGTGAACTTCAAAAGAAGTCAACATCGCTGGTGATGAATTTGAAGTCAGTCGTGAAAACAAAGGAGTCGCCAACAAAAACAATTGCCTCCAGACAGAGAGATGCAACTCTGCAGAATGATGGTGATGGAGATTCCTCCAATAAATCTGTGCCACAAAAGAGGAAACAGGATTCATTCCTGGTGGAAGTACAGGAAAGGGCCGAGGTATGTTATACAGTCAGCTCTTGATCGGAAAACAACTCAAGGAACATGCCTTCAAAAGCCCACTAATCTTCATGTTATGAGCAATTTACCATCTGAAAGTAAATAATGCTGTGGAAAGTTCGAGAGCCATATTTATGAGATGCTCCTTATTAGGAAAAAGAGACTGAGTTTAAACACTCAAACAGACTTCATATCAGTGAAACTGTTCACTCAGTTAATATGTACATGTACATTGCTTTGTTTTCCACCCCTTGTTTTATTCTAATGTAGTTTCACTCTTTCATTTCTATATGTAACGTTACCAAACTTATAGTAATTATTTGCATTTGATAATGTTGATATGTCGTCACTGAAGCGTCATGTTTTAATATCTGTACTGTTTATTTTAAAATGTCTCAACTCAGTCTGTTACTAATAATAGTCTGTCTTGAGTTATTGTTATGATGACTGATCAAACTGTTGATGCCACACAATTGAACATCTGCTGCTTCTAGCCGCCCAAGGGTGGATATCTTATCTAAGTGGCCAGTCAGCTGTAATCCCAGCTACAGACATTTAGCATGAAACATTTAACCTTCCATTAATGGATTAACACAAGTAATATTCGAAGCACATGGTTGCAAGAGGCGCAGCTGTTGACATACAATCAAACTTCACAAATAAATTTCTGATCTCTTTAATGATAAACTGTTTTAAAAAATCAATTTAACTCTGTTCTTTCGATTCTAAATTGCCATGTGTTTATAGTGTATCCTTGGAAATTCATTGTAAGTTGTTGCGTTCGACGAAGTGGAACGCAAACCTAATTTTGACCTGTGGCTTTCCAGAGTTGGTTGTCCTGTGCACGGTTATAGGCCGAAAAAACCTCATTCCTGCAAGGACACCAAAATGGCCACCCCGCTTGATTTTTGCAGGGGCATGTCACGGCCAGTAAACTGATACCGTTTAATGCTAAGACACGTGATAAGACGTGATAAAACATGTGATAAGACATGTGGCGAACATGTGAGTATGTGAGCAGGCCATGTGAGCTCGTCTTTCCTATAGCTCTCTCTTTGACTTCTTTCCATTCAGTCGCCGCACGCTTCGCTATTATGTGCTCTCAGTGTTAGATTTTGGCGAATTTATACGCTTCGACGGTAGCATTTATCGAAATCTGAGGGAATTGTCCTTGTTTATTAACACGACTTGGCTTTGGGTTGATAACCGTGGGAACAGCTACATTTTGATTGCATTTGTTGATTAGTTCCAGTCGCGACAGATAGCTCAGTCTTAATCCGGTCGAAATTTTATTGTTTGGAATCGGTGGAAAAGTACTCTGAAGGCAAGATCCATAAGACTACTTTATTCATCAGGGGAAATACTCGAATTAGTCGCATGGAGTTTGTTTGCGATAAACGACCACGTGAAACGAGCACGCGATTGCAAATGCTAGCTTAGAATAATGTACGTAATTTAAATATTCTATGAAACTTGAGAGTCTATAGAAACTGGCGGCGTCATGCAACGTGTCAACAAATCGTGACCTCTTCACTAGCATGGACTTTGACGCTATGCACTTCTGACTGTAAAACCTCGGTTGCTGCTGAAAAATGTTGATTTAAGCAATAGACAAAGGTTGAAAGTCAGCCAGTGAAATCATTTATTTACTATATATATATATATATATGTATATATTAAAGTGAGAGCGTCGAGCGCACTCTCATAATCTCTGATTACTACTAGTATAAATGTTGTTCCAAAAAAGGCACCCTTTTGCCATTCATATTTATTTCGAGTTATTTGAGAGTCATGAGAGAATTCTGTCGTTGAATTTTTTCAGGTGATAAGTAAAAGTGCACGCAAAGCACCAGAAACGATGGTGTCATCAATGGGACAAAATGTAGAGGAAGATCCAGATACGGTAAGATACGGGGGGGTGGGAGTGTATGGAAGCGAGGGGGGGGGGGAGGGGGGAGGAGGAGGGGTGGACCATGACATAGTGGAATTTGGAACACTGCAATTCAGCTTTCCAAATAGTCAAATACCTCTTATAGTTAAATTTTCTCAACTCGCATTACTCATTGAAATCAAGTAATTTCCTGTGAAAGAAAGTCTTAAATGAACTGGTTTATGGAACCACTGCTGCATTTGTTAAGAGCTACTAACGTGTGTTATGATGGGCTCCCGGATAAAGCTAGGGACGTATTCGCTCTCGATTTCTATACGTGATTGTTGACTTGGGCTGCGCCCTCCTCAACTATCTCGCTATAGAAATCTCAAGTTCATAATCTAATTGTTTAGTATATTGGATTACAGATTACCGCTCGAGAAAAATGATCTCACAGTGCATATACATTTATTCTTTACCTGTAGGAGATATTTTTGAGAAAGATTCGGGCAGCACCCTCCACGTCAAGTGATTTGCATGTAAGTGAAACCGAACTTTCTTATTTTGTATTAGAACTGATAGGTATTTGTTAGGCTGTACTTTATGCTGAGGCTTTCTTCTTGCAGGTTGAGGACAACACGACAAGAGTACATAGAAGTAAATCCGCTTCAGAGGTTGATTTCTCGGTCGTAGTGCCAGTAAGTCTTTCCTTTGGCTTGTCACGTAGTCTTTCTCTTTAAAATTGTCACACAATCGTGACTCTCTTGGTTTGTTCCGTAATCGTTGCTGTTTGTACTCGTAACTCGTAACAATTAGTTTAACTGTTGCCATACAATCTCTATATTTTTGGTTGATCACGCAATTTTTTTGATAAACAGCTGTTGTTGAAATCGCATATCATCTTTAACGTAGCCGATGGCAATTTTCTTACCCAGTTCTTTGTTTTCTCCTCTTGTGGGGTAAGGGTAGGGGTCGGATGAGGGGTAGAAGGACTCCTGTCACTTTTATCTGGTTTCCCGCCCATCAACAAAAGAGTTCTTATCTCCTCTTCCTTGTGACGGGGTGATATCAGATGACTCGTATTGGCACAGATGTATTTTGCCGTACTTTCATATTGTAAGACCAAAGGAGCAGTAATGCGTAGAGTTTCACCTGCTTCAGTTTTTTTTCTGCTCGAGCACGTGGTGGGAGAGAGGAAGAAAAAAAAAAAAACTCGCGCGTAAACATGACGACTTTTCTAATAATTAATGATTCGTTAATAATAGCGGATAAATTCAATGGACGTTGAGTAATCACATATACTGATTGATTTTGTTGCAGAATTCATCGACACTGAACTTGGAACCTCAAAAATCCAAAATCCCGCTTGGAAGGTCAGGCTCACTAAAAGGACGAAGAAAACCAACAGCAGCTGGAAGACGAAAGAGTCTGAAGTCAAGCTTTAACGATGACTGGGATGATTCATTTGTTATCAGCGAAGGAGAGGAGCCGTAAGTATTAAGAGAATGTGTCTTTGCAGCACGAAGACAGAAAGGAAATTCAGTACAATCCTGATTTCATGAACCCTTGACTTTTCTATTCAAAAGTCGTTTCCCTCTCCTCAGTCGAACACTGTAATTTTACCCCGACTTCTCGAACTGGTCGATTTTTCAAACCAATTTTTTTTTTCCTTGGAGATTCAAAAAATCGAGATTCCACTGCATTTCTTCGATTAAGTACTATCCAGCTTTGAATTAGCTTCCGTCCTCTAATATGCGCCCTTTTAAAATCATGAAATATGAAATGAAAACGCACCCGTCCTCCAATTAAACAGTCATAATTGAGCTTAGTAGAGAATAGCCTATGCTCTGGTATTGTGTAGAAAATGGAATTGTACAAACTTAAAGCTGGTTGATGAAATTTGAAAGAAACGTCTTGGGAGATTTGTCGCAGTTTTAAGAGAATTTCCAGGAATTCACGGGACTAGCAGTAGCCTCCTACATGGACAATCTTTTGGCTTATCACCTAGTGGGTGATAAGCAAAAACAATTAATGTTCGCGTAAGAGGCTGGCATCGCATTTGTGATCATGCACCATTTTCCAACAAAAGCGCCACTTGGTTCTCAGGCTCTTGAAGTTTCGCATCGGTCAAGCCCTGTGATGGACAGAAGTGCTTTTCTCTGGTTTCTAGTCTGTTCTAGGCCCAGCGCGAAACACAGCGAACGAAAAAAAAACTAACTGAATGCCTAGAAGAGGCTAAAAACAGTTATTTTTTATTAACAGTTATTTTTCAATGGACGAAGAACCCAGTGTTGAGTCTGGTGAAAGCTTCATCATTAAGGACCCTCCTCAGATGGGTGCAGAAGGCGAAGTGAGACCACGAACTAAACCTAAGCCCAAAATTAAAAGCCAGACAGTCTCTGGAATAGCTCTTCCGGGTCTAGCTGAAGTGTTAAGCAAGAAGAAAATCGCAGCAGAGGACAAGGTTTGTTGAATTTACCAAAAACTACTGTCACTCTCCCCGTAGGAGCTTCATGCGTCTCTCACGGAAGGAATAACTCAAGTGCAAGAGTAGAGCCGCGTGTTTACTTAGGGTAAAACTGATGTACCTAAACAGCAAACTTACTTACTGCTAAACTGGCAGCGTGGCCGAGTGGTTAGGGCGGCAGACTTGAAATCCAGAGGGCGCGGGTTCAAGTCCCGCTCTGACCACTAGGCTGGAGTTGTTTCTTAGTAGACCCCAGTTCAACTCCTCGGTCATGCGTGTAAATAGCCAACTGGTCTGCCTCCCGCCAGTTGGGATTTTTAAGCCTGTTATGTTTATTTGCAACATTTGTTTCTTTCAATTGAAGTGGCATGCTTGAAAACTAGCTAGTTGTAGCTAGGTGCATGACGTTCAACAACATTTTTTTTAAACTGACTTCTTAAACGGTTGGGGTGATAAACAGTATTTTTTTGAAATCCTTATGCTCATTGTTTTGTTCACGTCTGTTATTTTCTAGCAACGCTCCCAGGGCAGCGCTGCCGAAATTGTCCGTGCAGCTGCCGAGAGTAAGAGGAACATGGCAGCCAAGGAAGAAAGAGTGGAGAAGGAACCGGAAAAACCGGCTTGGCTGGTCGAGGCGGAGGCACGGAGGAAACTTCACGAACAGCGGAGACACAATAAAACCAAACAACAAGGAGAGAACGACAGAGAACAGGATAAACCGGTACAGAACGGCCCTGTTCTTCGTTCTTTGCCTCATAAACCTGAACCAGTCATTGATAAATCAGATAGCAATGCAGGGGTGAACATACTTCACAATGTTATGCTTCGTCCTGTGCGAAAGCTGGAAGCAGTCGCGACTAAATCAGATGAAGACAACGATGCTGATAAATCGTTAAACTTTTGTCTACGTCCTGTGTCTAAACCGGATCCAGTAGACAGCCCAGTCGAGGAAAAGAGTGATAGTAGTAGACATCACAACGTGTTTTTACGTCCTATACCCAAGCCGGAGCCAGTTGTCAATGATAACACTGAGGACTTGTCAGGGAAGTTTCAACCGGTACGTTTGAAACCCATTGCTAAACCCTACGATCCAAGACCGTCGGGTTCTTCGATCTCCGATAACGAAACAATGCCGATGGCAACACGAATATCTTCCGAAGTGATGACTTCTAGCTCTCAACCGATGAGACCGGTCACGCAATCATTTTCGGAAAACGGTGACGTGTTAGATCAAAGCTCGCGGTCAGCGGGAGCAGCTAAAAATTCTCGCGAGCATCACTTCGTCCGTTCTCTTGTACCAATAACTTCGGAGAAACCGACGATTTCACGATCGGAGCCGAGGGTTTCCGAAGGTTCTTCGTCGCGTCTGAATGGCTCGCGAGTCACAGTTTCGTCGAATTACGTGAGTGCGCCTCACAAAATCACCCCGAAAACAAGACCCAAACCGACCAACAGGTCGAAAACAGTGACTGTTACGGCTTCTGAAGTGCCGGACCTGTCAAAAGCTAGGCGAACAAGTGTGGAGTTGATACATGCTAAAGTTGAGAGGAAATTTCCCCAGCCTGTTTCGTCGACCGTACCGTCCAGTCACGTGACGTCGCCTAGGGACCAGAGGGAACCCCGGAGAGGCGGTGATACGCGAGAAAGAGCGGAGACATTTGACTCGTCTTACAGACCGAGTTACAGTGGAGATGTCTTACCTCAGTGGAAGATTGATCTCATTGAAAAGAAGAGGAATGTTGGATCTTCACGTAGAGAAATAATCAGAGGTGAATTTTACAGCGTAATGACTGTCTTCGCGCGCTAACTGACTGAGATTTGACCGGAAACCTTCCATACATGTGATGTAGCTCCAAAAGATCGATGCAATAGTAAAAACCGTTGATGTGCATCCGAGCTAAACACATGACGAAAAAACCTGATCTAAACGGATATCAAACGTTCCATCAGTCGTCTTCAGTCATCCGAAGCTGGTCGAAACGTTTGATCGTGCTGTGAAAATGTTTCCAAAATGTATGGACTAAACTTCAAAGTAGGAGTTCACATGATAAAGGAAATCCATGTTGAATTTTCCTTTGTACTGAATTATACATTGAAAATATTTCGACAACTCGATATAACCTGCGACTTTAGCTGTGTTGGACTTTGAGCGCGAAAAATCGACGTAAATGGTCCGCCGAACTTCGAATGAGTGATAACGAATTATGGAACGTTTGGTATCTATTTAGATCAAGTTTTTTCGCGACGTTTTTGTGCTTAGTTGCAGACAACGGTATCTCCGATGGGCTGATAGGAAGGACAGCGCAAGAATCAATCAAAGAAACACAGTTGTTTTTTTTCTGTAATGCCATCAGCATGGAAAGATTCGGCTCGAATCTCAAACGTTATTCTAGGAGATGGGCGATTGTTTCATTTTCTGCAAAAAAAATGATTCCGGAGAATGGACTTTGGTGATTGAAGTATTATTGAGCTAATCCACTGATAAACATAAAATGTTTGGATTCAAATCTGGGAATTGTACAAAGGTATGCGCTCCTAGTGGCTGATTTCGGAACTATAATGTAAAGCTGACATGGAAAACAAATGGGTTTTAAGAGAAATAAAACTTAGATTAACTTCTAAACGAGAGCAAGAGTTAATTGGCTTTCGGACAACCTGGCTTTGAGTCGTACGTTTTGAGTTGGCAGGGGATGGGTGGGAAGGGCACTTTTGTGCCTTAAAACCAAGCGATGTGGTCACGTGTCCTATGTAACATGTATTCCCTTTCCTTTTGCAGATCAGACGCAACAGACCCATACTTCAAACGTGACTGCCGTTCCAGCCTGGAAGAGGGAACTGGCAGAGAAACGAAAACAGCGAGTTGCAGTGAATGGCGTACAAACGTCCCGCAAAGAAAACGAACCCAAGACATCTCCTGAGGTGCCTCGGTNTGGGCCGATTAGTTAAACGAAGTCTAAGTTAATCATTGTTTAGGGCTGAGCCGCGGTTTAGACGTTGTCTCGATAAACAACGGCTAAACGATGTTTAAAATTCATCTTTGAAACGCGACTGAACCGTGTTTTCTCGAGCCAATAGCTAAACCATGTCTTATGAGGAAATGCGTTGCATGTGGAGTTATTTCGTATGCAAATTTCCAGATAGTGAGTATGTCTCTGAAGTATGGCTTCTAAAACAAGCCCCACAACAAATTTCAGCGAACAAGAAAAACTTTTATCGGCCGAATTGGGTAGAGACTTTCCGGAAGTGGAAAGCAAAGACTATGAAAGTAAAACCGCGTTGGCCAAAAAAAGGGCAAAGGCATGGGGTGAAATTTTAGCTCAATTTAACTCCGAAAATCCTAGCGTTATCAAACGCGACGTCAGTCAGCTTCAAGGATGCTGGAGGCGGCTGAATCTCCGACCGAAAAAGGAGCATTACTTACATCGTCGTGAAGTAAGAAAAACTGGTGGAGGAAAAGCTCCTGCCTCCCCAAGGGAAGAAACCAAATTAGTAGCGGACGTAATCCCAGCCTCAGTTAATCCTCAAGAGCAGGAATGTGATGATGATGCAGGAGAAGAACTTGATTTAAGGCGGGACAAAAACTCAATTGAAGTTATTACTTGCGAAGTGGAGCCAAGTCTACTTGGTGACCTTGAAGCTATTAGCAGGAAAGGAGGGGAAAAAGTCACGAAACAGGATGATAGTCAGAAGTACAGTAACTTTCAATCGCTTCTAAAAATTGTTATTTTGAATCACCAATAACCCTCTGCAAAGTTCCTGTCGCATGGAATCTTTAAGCAATTAGCACTTGCTGCATTGGTGTAAGCGCTACACCTCTCCTTGTTTGATGTTGAAGATCTTTATCCAAACTCTTTACGAGGTCACTGACCGAGTCCTTTCTTAGGCGAAAATGCAATCGAAAGTCTTCGTCGTCGTACTCCTCCAATGGGTTAAAATCTATCCCTAAGGTGCCGAACATGTATATCAAGTCGATTGGCGTAGTTTCTTAACTGTATGTAGCGCAGAGGTCCCTCCATTTCAAAATGGCTGACCATGAAAATATCGTTAAACGGCGTTTAAACCTACCTCTGATCAGGTCTAACTTACTTTTCTTCCTTAATAAAACTTAGATTGACTTCTAAACGAGAGCAAGAACTAATTGGCTTTCGAACAACCTGGCGTTGAGTCGTACGTTTTGGGTTGGCAGGGGATGGGTGGGAAGGGCTCTTTTGTGCCTTAAAACCAAGCGATGTGGTCACGTGTCCTATGTAACATGTATTCCCTGTCCGTTTTCAGATCAGACGCAACAGACCCATACTTCAAACGTGACTGTCGTTCCAGCCTGGAAGAGGGAACTGGCAGAGAAACGAAAACAGCGAATAGCAGTGAATGGCTTACAAACGTCCCGCAAAGAAAACGAACCCAAGACATCTCCTGAGGTGCCTCGGTGGAAAAAAGAATTCGCTGAGAGGAGAAAACGCAGAGAAATGTCGCCAAGTCAAGTGCAACCTGATAAACGCGAGCGGTCTCCGGAAACTCCCGAGTGGCAGCGGAGATTAGCGAACACGCGACGAACTCAACCGATCGTGGTACAGAGAGGGCCGGTGGAAGATTCCACAGACCAGGTCCCGAGTTTTATGAAGGAGTTTGAGAGGAAAAAGAGAACCTTGCCTCGCGGTAGGTGCTTTGAAAAATGCTATTTATATGTAAACTTTCACGAAATTTGTCGAGTTTTATATTCCAATTGTGTGGGTGAATTAATGCCACAGGATTAAGAGGCTAGCCTCCACCGCCTTTGTCAGGATTTGAACATCAATTTTTTCCCCTCGATATAGCTCTAAGCTTGGATATTAAGAAAGCTACAAGATAGCTAATTTGAGCCAAGCGATGTAAAGCAACGATTCCAATTTTTCATGGATTTTCAGGGTTTAACACTTGGGGAATAGCAATTCATTCGAAACAAAACGCTTGCCTTTGTAAACCGGGAGTGCCATCAATACATGCAATCAACGTGTCTCTGTTTCTTTTCAGAGGTTGCACCCGAAGCTGTGTGAGCCACTCGGCTAAATACCTTTTGACTAGCGCTCTTGTTAGTACAAATGAAATTAACCTGACAGTTCGTTTGCTTACATATTTTTCCTATATCCTTGTTTACAATCCCTCTTAGGACCTAGTCACTTAAAGGTTGCAAGAGACCTGGTAATGAAAACCAGTCTCCTCTCTTTCGCTCGTCCACCTGCGTGTTTACACATGCGCGTATGTTGATGTGAGTGCTAGTTTAGAGCACGGCAACAGAAAGACTAGGATATTTATTACACTTGTTATTATACCGCGTTGACATAAATGTTTTCTTTGCTTTACAGGGGGAAGCTACGTATGACCAAAAGAAAACAGCCGAAATATTGTTTATTGTTTCAACCCTTTCGTTCTGCAAGGTTTTTGAGTTGAATTTAATATAGAAGAGTTCATAGATGGAGCGTTGCTTCATTTTGGTATGCAATTTCGAACGACACCTTATTTCAGGAAGATAAATGATCGGGGAGGTTTGGAAATGAATGAGCACCGTTTTTACAAATATATTAAGAATAAGTGGACAGTTGATAAATTGTAAGTTGATGATATTTTGGTGCGTCAAAAAGTAAGAGGTTTGTTTTCATTTGTTCTGATTAAACCGAGTTAATTATATCTGTTTTCACTTTAAGAGAAAAAGTAGATCTAGGCAAATTTACACGATATTTAAATGTTCAGATTTTATTCCAATCTTTGCTCAAAAGAACAAATATATTTTTGTAGTACGAAATTGTTTACATGCTATTTTTGTCATAGCATTGGTCGCATTGGCCGGAAATATTTAATTCTGTGGGAAAAGTAATGATGAACGTTTTGAAAATAGGATTATAACTTTTTACCACAATCGACTATGAAGTTCTTTTATACAATAACGTCTGCAACTATGACTTTCAACATTTCAGGCCAAGGGAAAAAAAGAAAAAAAGCGAAAAACCTGACTTTGCGTTTTTTACAGGGAAAATGCTGAATTCATCTTTATAGAGCGTGTTTTAATGATTTTCGTTAGAAAAAAATTCGCATTTTAGAGTTAAGTGAGCGACGTGTTGTAACCAGTCAAAGCGAGGTGCGTATTTGCTTTCAGCCAATCAGGTTCGAGTTGTACAAGTGGTGATTTGTTTTGCTTACTTTTCCCGCGCTTGCCAACCGTTGCAAGTGTTATTCCTCGAGCTTTGATTGGTTTATATAGTGACAGGCTTTGTGGTACTTTCATTGGACGGTTTAAAATATTTCGACATTTCTAAAGTAGACATTTCTTTTGTCGTTTTGAGCTACGGTGTGGGGCCAATCGGGAAAGGCTTCTGTTCCTTTTGCACTTTTTGTGCTTTTACATTCGCATTTACTGCCATAATTTTTTTAAATGTAATGTCAGTTGTGCTAGAAAATTATGGAAAGAAAGTAAGCATTGTTTAAATTAAACTGTACGTTTTATTCTGTGCTAAGAGAAACATTGGATAATTTTCAAAATTTAGATAATTCCTGGTAATTTCCTACCCTTTTGTATTACGGTATGTGATATTTTCAATTTATTACTGCGCCCGTTACTGTTCAAAAGCAGTGTTCATCGTTGTCATTTCAACGAGTTATTTGAGAGAAAATTTTGGAAAATAAAGTTAACTTCACGAATATTGATCGAGATTGTAGTGAAATTATTGTGTAATTTTTCCGATATGATGTCTGTTTTTTAGGGTCCCCTCCCCCAGCCTGAAGTGTCGTTCGCCTTTTTGTCCTTCAGACATTTCAGGCCATTAAGCACCAGAAAATGTTGGTAACTGAAGACTTTGCCCTTCGATTCAGTCATAAGCTGTAGCGTTTGACTGTTGAAATGAAAGCTTTGACTAGTTCTTCCAAGCGTTACTGTCCTTTTGTTTTCCTTTTTTTGTTTTCAGGAGAATAATTCAACTTTATTGTTATTATTATTATT